ATAAAGAAAGGATTTACCCGGAACAACGTATTATGAAGCTACTATTCGAATGGAGTTGTCAGCTAATATAGTTCGATTTTATTTCTAAAAATTTGAGTTTGACTTGTTTGTATATATTTAAACGAGTCAAACTCGAACAACTTAACAAGTTTGTCTATCAAACAAGTCGAGTCGAACGTATTTTGATGCAGAGTAAATATAAGTATTATTATCATTATTATTATTATTATTATTATTATTATTAGTAATATTATTATTTAATAATTAGTAGTAGCTTAGAGAATAAACTAGGTTTAGTTTGTAGGGTTTATTTAAGGAATTCTTCTGCTGTGTGAAGAGTAGTTGATTTTGAATATGAAATAAGATTAGAGATTGTGAGTCTTGCGTGTTTTACGAGAGAGTATCTCATTTATCTTTCCTACACGTACAATTCTCCTACATCAGTTGGTATCAGCAGTTAGTACGATTCGCGATGTCGCCGGGACGACAAGATGTCGTAGACGAACGACGTGACCAACCTTCAACGATCGGTTTCAACAGATCGACTACCGATTTGAACAATTGGACGTGCGTTTCACGGATTGGTTTGCCGATTTTTCGCCGGAGATCGAGGATTTGCATTTGACGCTTAACAACATGGTTGTTTCGAAATTGCAAACGAACAGCGATGGGGCTGTGGGCCGTGGCTTTCGCGGGGGAGACAGAGGCACCTGTGGGGACGCAGCCGTGTCGGGGCGCTCTGACAGCGGTCCCCGCCACCTCTGAACGGCATCACGGATGGCGACTTTACCTGGTCGGCTATCATGTTGGCAGATCGACCACCATGGCGAGGACACGAAACCCCCGATCAGCCCCGAGTTCGCGAGAAGCGGCGGACTGGAGGTAGTTTCGTATATGGCGGCGACCGCGACGACGAGGACACCCTAGGTGCAGTCCAATTTTGCATCCAAAAAGGGCCTGAAGAGGGTTTTCATTACCAATTTTCGCCCAATCGCACAACCTTAGTCCGCGATTTTCGGCGAACTGCTGTAGGCGGAGGGTCACGCAGAGCCCTTAATGGTGATTCCCCTCGGGCTATAGAAGGTGAGGGGGGCAGGCGATGGTGTTCGCAGGAGAGGCATCGAACCGCTGTAGACGGCGGCGACTCCCTTAGCCGCGAGCCGCGCTGGGACGCTGAGGGTTTTGCCATGGCCGGCGAGCGCGATTGGAGGCAGAACGCGACAGGTTTTCGCGACCGGCGGTGCGCTGCTGCAGGTGACGACGGCCGAGATGCACGGCGAGGCAGCGAGAACGAGGCTGGATTCGGAGGTGCTACATTTTTGGGATTTGACAGAGGTAGGGTACAGATACAGAAGGCTTGTGAAGGAGGCGAATTTGATATTAATTTTGGGCCTGAGAAGAAGCAGTCCAAAAGCTTTTTTTGTGCCTGTGAAGTAGCTGCACAAATTGGGCCTATGCATAGGGATTTTGGTCGCGAAATTTGGTCAATGGGTGGGCTCATTTTGCACTGATATCCCCGAATTCAACGAGGAGCACGTTGACGGGCCATTGTACGACGGTCCGCCAATTTTTGATGAGGAGCCTCTGATGACGAAGACATATTTTTGCCGCAATATGGGTCCCGCGTGGGACGACGCAGCGGTTGAGTCTTCGAATGGGCAGCCGTCATTCACACCCGATTTTTTGAGTATTTTGGCCAAGGATGGTTTTTGGGAGCCGAGGCTGAGACTTCATAACTGGTGGGCCATTTTTCGATTGTTGTTCCCGAAGTCTCCCAACACAGGGATGTTTGGTCGTAGTTATGGATTTGAGCGTGGCGAACGTTGTGGTATGTTTGGTGTTACTTCCGTTGTGTGGGTTATGCGTATGGAGGCGTGTACATGTGCCTTTGCAACAGATCAATCCTTGCCCAAGATTAGATTTACCTTTGGGGTTGTTGGACGACTTTCAACCTTCGTGTTCGATCGGAGGAAATGTCCGGGCTATTCCTGTCTTGAGGACGTCTCCAACAGGAACGGGTCGGATTCGAGGGCGAATCCTGCTCAACCGGGGGAGAATGATGCGGAATAAATATAAGTATTATTATTATTATTATTATTATTATTATTATTATTATTATTATTATTATTATTATTATTATTATTATTTAATAATTAGTAGTAGCTTAGAGAATAAGCTAAGTTTAGTTTGTGGGGTTTATTTAAAGAATTCTTCTGCTGTGTGACGAGTAGTTGATTTTGAATATGAAATAAGATTAAAGATTGTGAGTCTTACGTGTTTTACGAGAGAGTATCTCGTTTACTCGTTTATCTTTCCCACTCGTACAATTCCCCTACATCATGTTTGCGAATAATTCGATTAGAGTTTGGGGTTTTGTTGTAGGTTTTAAAGTTTATTAAATGACTTCAACCGAGTTTATACGAGTAGAACCGAAGCTAAAATTTATTTGTTTACTAAATGAGCTGAGCCACGACAACTCGTTTATTAAATGAGCACAAGTTTGAACTTGAAATACTTGATTCAAAAAATCTATGACAGAAACTGGGGGAAACCTGTGAGTCCTTCGGAAGCCCAAGCCCAATTGGGTTGGGTGACGGGTACGTCACTGCACGGTCCCATGTAGGTCCAAACCCAACTGGGCTGGGTAAACTGACTCTGATACCATGACAGAAACTGTGGGAAAACGGGTGTGGGCTCACTAACATGAAGCGCACCAAAGCGGGGAAAACCCATATGAAGCCCAAGTGGAGTTCCATCCCAAAACCAATTGGTGGAACGATGTGGGACAACTCACAAGTGATATTCTAACCATGTAGATAGACCCACGTATAAGAAAGTCAAAATAAGAAAATAATTTTTAAATCTGATATAAATCACATGACTCACACAATAAATAATACCAAAATGTGAATGTTGCGTTTATAAAATAAAAATTATTTTACTTTCTAACTAGTCGAATTTTATATGGAGATGACTCTCCTTTAAGAAAAACTTGTGAGTTTTTAACTACTCTTTATACATATTACAAACTTTTATTTTAAATTGTTTCATTACTTTTTTTCTTTGAAAATGTAAAAAGACAAATTTTCTCATGCACTTGAATTTTAGTTTAAAAGATAATAATTTATTAAAAGAACTACTACAAAACAGTGTAATAGTCCCGTCATTTTTGTTATATGACATGCCATTTAAAATACACATGTCATT